GTTCACAATCTCAGTATGAAATGTTACTCAAAACTGGGGGCATTCAATAAAAAACGTATTTTCATTTATCTAGGGATGCAACCCCCACAATAAAAAAACAAAAACCAACAATCCAGCCTTAAATATGAAAGGATTTGAACAAAAAGGGATTACTGTTGACAGTGAAGATTTTTTTGTTGAAATACAGATCATAAAATAATTTTATTATGAAAAATTAACCAAACCGAAATTTCAAGCAGAACTGCCATAGGTATAAATATATTATTATCTAACTTTAATAATAATATTAAACAGTATAACATGATGAAAGCCCTATTAAACTAAACCAGCCTCCTTTGTTAATTTGGCAGCTTCTTCTCTAATACCTCTGTTTATCAGGAGTTCCACTCTGCAACCTTAGTATCCCACCAATATCTTGATCTTAGGGAAACAGAAAAAAACAGCCTAGCACTTGAGCTAATGTCACAAAAAAAATATCAAACACAGGCTTTGAATAAGCTATTGTTTTGTTTTATGTTGAATGAAACCAAAGTTCTAGATTGCTATCTTACTTGATTATGGAATTAATGTTTAAGAACCCAAGATGACGAATCTGAACCCATCAGCTTCCAGTCTTGAATTTTCCTTTGTGAATATTAGTACATATTTTGATAGCAGATATGGGAACCAGTGCTCTAAACAACATTGTTCTACCCCACAGAGATGTAGAGAACAAGAAGAGGAGGACAGATCGCCAAACTAATAAATCACTTCTACAGAGATGCTAGACCCAGAAGTGTTCAAGCAGTCCAAGGATCCAAAGCAATTAATACTGTACTAGATAAAGATGGAGCAGGCTAGAAGAGTGATCACAATGAAGGGCAAGGTTGCTATACTGTATATACACAGTTCATGATCAGAGATTCTGCATAAGATAAGAATGTTGCCTCCAGCCACTGTCTCAGCCTCTGATACTGCTGCTAAAACTCTTTGCAGCTGGCTGTCCCAGGCTCACTTGGTGTTCATTGTGGTTCTGACTCCTGAGGAGGCTGTATCTCTCAGCCTTTTCTTCCTAAAATGTCCTTAAGTGGTATTGTGAAAGGAAAATTAGAACAGGATCTCCAAGCTACCCAGGATGGGAGGCCCAGAAGAGGAATCATTGCTTGAGAGCAGATACCATATGAAATATATAGCAGAGTTGCTGTGCCCAGAAGGGACTGTAGAAAATGCACTGTGTGCCTATATAAAGATCTGCTGGATTACACGCTGGATTACTCATTATGTTGACATAAACTAAATATTATTTATGTTGTATAAAAGTTCATAATCATTAAGCAGCTTTACAGTTTACATGTAGGTAGATAGTGAAATACAGAATATTGACATTACTTGCTTCTTGGAACCAAATCCATCCTAGTGTATGCAATGTGTATTAGTAACTGTTATAATTAAACAGTGAATCATTGTCAGGCCCTATCATTAAGCTGAACCAGTTTCCTAGGAAATATCTTTTTTTAATAAAAACACTCATTCTAGTGTAATTTCCCCAAACTCAACACAGTACAGAACAGTGATTGAAAAAGGAGTACAGATGCTCTAGAGAGGTGGTTCTCAATCTAACACCTGAACAGCCATTGAAGAAACAAAAGGTCCACCTATTCCATGAAGGACAATTCTAGGTTACATACATTTTGCTATAAGAATTAATTAAAAAATGCATCTCCTCCTCAGCAACTCTAACCTTTCTTATTAGTTTTATTATTACTGAAAAGGTTTTCCCCCTCTAGTCCAAATGGCCACTCCATGGAACCCACTTCCCCAGCCAATGAACAGAAACACTCTCCAATAAAGGGCTGCATCAGAGAAGCTTTGGTGACATTACTCACCAAAGCTTCTTGCTTTCTTCATTTCAAGTGTCTGCAACATAGCAAAAGTGTGAAAAGATGCAATTTGCCAGTTTGGGGCAAAAGAAAAGGATTGATGGCAAGAATTTTCAGGCAGTGGTAGTGATGAGAAGAAGGAAAGCTGCTGCTAATTCAGGTCAGACATCACATTTTTCTCAAGGCTTCCCCAGGTGATTCATCACCCATTTTCCTCTCTGCATTGTGAGATCTTTGTTCCCTTAGAAGAACCAAGAAAAAAATACAACAGTGGAAGGAGAAGTTGAGGGGAAAACCTTTTCCCTTGCTTATTGCCAAGCGAGATAGGTCTCATCAAGTACGTGAGGAGAAGGGGAAATGACTCACCTGGACAAGTAAGTGGTAAACTGAAAGGCAAGAAAGTCAGAGAAGGAGATCACAGGAGGGAGCATGGCAAAGAATCCTCGGTTGTCAATGCTGTAGAATTCAGGTAGCAGCACTTTTCCTGCCAAGCTCAAATGAGTCAGAGTGCAGAAGAACTGGAGGCCACCAGATTGACATGTCATGCTTACACTTGGATACGGGGAATGGTGGACAGTTGATTTGTGGTGATTGTTATGAAAAGCCCATGTCCCACACAGACTGTTTCTGACTCTCACCAGGGTTATCCGTACCATCATTTGAGAAACAAGTTCTTTGGTTGAAATTACACACTACTATTTTGGCATCTGCTGAATTATTACACAGTGAATACATCTCAAGTCTTTGGGGAATAGCGGTACTATTGGATGTTAACTTTTCCAATGCAGAAACAATGGGGGCTCCTTGGTTCCCTTTCAAATATTACATTGGAATTGCAATTCATTACTTGCACATAGTTCTGTGAGCTAAAACAAAAGAAAAGGAGTGAAGTATTGATTTCAGACCAGACAATGGCAGACCTTGAACTGATAGGATTAACTTTTACTAGAAGCACAAGGTCTGACAGCTAGAGCTTGGATGAAAGAACTAAATATAAGATGATTGCTCAGAAGTAATTTTCTGGAATGCCAAATGATATAATGGGATTTTCATATAGAAATCAATGCATATAGACCAAACTATACATGTGTTGTTAGATGTTTATATACAAGGAGGGAAGCTTTGACATTTCTTTGCCTCTTTTAATCTTCCCTTTTCTCATCTACATTCTTTGCGACAATCTTTTCTCTCTCCACATACTAGGTAATATGATCCCTCATCCTATTTTTTTGCCACAGTTATTCTCTTATATGCATTTGCTTTTTATCCACAGCCTCTTTCATTTCATCCTTCTATCAAACACCTTTTTTCATACTTCCATTAGAGTAACTCCACACACCTCTGTGGTACCTTTACAGTGGCAAATGGGAAATGAGACTGTGATCAATATTGTGCAAATAAAAATGCAAGACAGAGGAAAAACACAGACAAACAGTTCCACAGCACTGGAGCCCATGGCAATACATTTTTACTTTAAAAAAAATCCAAGATTCTGAACTAGAAAATTCAGGGTAATGTTTATGGAGACATTTAAAAAAAGATTTTGAAATATGTAAAGAGACCATGCATATAGCAATAGAAAACTGTTGACAAGGATTATTAACTGCCTAACAGAAAACCATTGGTACCTAAAATTGCCCCACCCTCCCAACACTTTAGAAAAAGCAAGAAAAAAAAGCCACACTTCACCATGTGACAAGGGGTAGAGAACTCAGAAACTGCCTTGGTGTATCACATCCATGAAGCAGATCTTTCACTAAATGTTTCCTGAGACAGATCTCTAATAGGTAGCCAATTTGCTACCATGGCTTCTGTTGACTGTAACGCCAATATCCAGCTGTAAAACTAGTAGTGGTAAAGCCAGTTTTTTGGACTGCTCTAATCTTGCCAACTCCAGCAAGACCTACATGATTGTATTCTTGCACTGTTTGTCCCTTGGCTCAGGGACAAAAAATGCCTCTATCCTTTCGTGCTGCTCCAGTCATTAGAAGGTGGGGCCAGTGCAAGTAGCAGACCATCATGTTCATAAATAGACTGTGCTGAACATCGTCCTCATTGCTTTGCAAACTGTTAAACACTACCATGCATTTCAAATATTTGAATGTTTGAATCTGCCAACTTGGCTGTATTTGCATAGCTGCTTTAGCTTAATCCACACTTAGCATATTGCAATTTCGAAGAGGGAGAGAAAAGAAATGAAGAGGGAGAGAAAAGAAAAAGAAATGGAGCATATAGTTGTCTTTAAAGGGGCTTGTATTGTTCTCTATCTCGTTCATTTGTTACTTCGAATGTGAATTTTGCCCAGCCTTCCTGGAGATCAAACCTGGAACCTTGTGCATACAAAACATGTACTCCAGCACTCAGTTATATAATGTTCACATAAAAACTCTTGTCCTTTTAATTTTCAA